AACTGTACTAATAAAGTTAAACATTACCATGTTTAACTTTATTAGTACAGTTTCATGACTAGAAGTTTACCACTTCTAGTCATGAGACTGTACTAATAAAGTTAAACATTACCACTTTTAGTCATGAAACTGTACTAATAAAGTTAAACATTACCACTTCTAATCATGAAACTGTAGTTAAACAACATGACAAGGCTGCTTATTCATAGAGGCTCCTGCTGGTATAAATGTTGCATGTTACAGCTTAATAACACTTATTAGTTAGTAAATGTATTTCTTCCAGGTTGCATTAATAAGTTATAATCAGAAACAAATGTAAAATGGAAATGAAAAGTATTTTGTTATTTTTTGTGTGTGCGTTTTAACACAGAAATTTTATCTTCAGATTATTCAGCTGGAAGAAACATTAATAGAGAAAAACAAAACCATTCAGGAACTGGAAGAAAAACTCATCCAACAGAAGGATTATGAAGAAATAAAAAAGGAATTAAGGTAGTAAAACACAATCTATTCATTATATTTTCCTCATAGTTGAGATCTTTTAGAATAAAAGAGGCAACTTCAGCATTAAAGCTTTTAATAAGAGTTTAACACACCAAAATGTTAAGAAATCGGTACTTAAGACATTTGGAGATATAACAATTTAACTTACAGACTGTTTAGTGTGTATTACAGCTTGCTGTTAAAAAATGTGTAACGCTCTGACTGGTGGTGTTTAGACTGTAATATTTTACCTTTTAATAGGTTTTTGTGTATTACCCAACCTGGTGATGATCAGACTGTACATAATGATATATTTACTGGCATTTCAATGGTTATACTCTGCCTGCCTGTATTTGGACTGTAATACTCTATCTAGTGGTATTTGATTTGTAATACTTTATCTAGTGGTAATTAAATTGTAATACTCTGACTTTTGGTATTTGTTTCATAATACCCAATTTGATGATGATCAGATTGTACATAATACACTATTTACTGGATTTCAATGATTATATTCAGCCTTTTGATATTTGTGCTGTGATACTTTATCTATTATTATTTGAATGGTAATACTCTACCTTTTGGAGTTGTTGTGTACTACCCAACCTGCTGATGTTTAGACAGTACATAATACTCTACATAATAGTGTTTTCAATGAATATAGTTAGCCTGCTGGTATCTAAGCTGTTTTATTGTATCGGATAATATCTTGTCTTTTGGTAGTCGTTTTGTAATACCCAGACTGTACATAATACTCTAGATAATAGTTTTCAATGAATATAGTTAGCCTGCTGGTATCTAAGCTGTTTTATTGTATCGGATAATATCTTGTCTTTTGGTAGTCGTTTTGTAATACCCAGACTGTACATAATAATATATTTATTTCAATGGTTATATTCTGCTTGCTGGTATTTTGACTGTTAGATAAAGAGTTAATTGCATTTATAAGAATCATTTGTTATAATGTGTCACCTGTATATTTGACTCACAGTTAATTCTCAACCATTTAACATGCAATGCCACCAATTCTGGTGGAAAGTCACATGTTTTTCCTAGGAAGGATATTCTCATAGCAAGATTTTGAAACAATGTAGAGGTAAAGGACACAACAATTTAATTTTCTCTATGTAAGTGAAGTGTTTAGATCAGCAATTGTCTCCTAAACCACTCTTCAAGCCAATCCCTAGCAACATCCTTATCTACTGGGATCCCAAACCACTCTTCAAGCCAATCCCTAGCCACATCCTCATCTGCTGGGCTCCCAAACCACTCTTCAAGCCAATCCCTAGCAACATCCTTATCTACTGGGATTCCAAACCACTCTTCAAGCCAATCCCTTGCCACATCCTCATCTGCTGGGCTCCCAAACCACTCTTCAAGCCAATCCCTGGCCACATCCTCATCTGCTGGGCTCCCAAACCACTCTTCAAGCCAATCCCTGGCAAAATCCTCAAGTGCAATGTGAGGGCTATGGTTCTGATACAGAAAAAACATTGTGGTGAAGCTGAGCACATATCTCCTGGCATTGTTAACAAAGTAATAAAGAATGTTAAAAAGCTTCTGGCCACATCTTGAAACCCATTACTGTTTTTGTAAGAACAATGGTCATTAAACACAACAATCTTATTGAACCAGGTCCTCCAGTTCAGCTCTAATGTACTTTTTTGCTTTCAGTCTACCTAAATGTGGTCTAGTGAAACGTTTATTGTCTAAGGTTGATTTCATCATTCTTTGTATAAGCTTATTACAATAGAAATCATATTCATGGCTATCAATTTGAGCAACTCAACAATGGAGGAAGTAGCCAAGGCAGCACATGACTTGAAACATAGTTCTAAAGGTGTAATTCATGGAACTTCAGTAATTAAACTGTACTACTCTTCCTAACTATCAGTACTTGGAGAATTTGCTGTTGTAAGATAACCTTGTGCTTGCAAGTGTTCAAAGAATATAACAAGTTTTACATACTGAAAGTAATTCTTTGTATCTTAAATCTTGTAAATTCTTAGGATGTTTCAGACCATTGTGAAGTATATTTAGGGTTTTTCTATTAAATTATGAGCAATTTAAAGCTTTTACTTCATAGCTTTAGACATAGAAGAATAATTACACAGGCCTGCGATGGTTTTATTGTCTTGAAATGTTTACATGTTCTACAGTAATTCATGTACACTGAATCCGAAAATGATATCCATTTTTCTCCATAACGTACAGATTTTTCACAAAATGTCATATGTACTTTTACATAAGTGAATCATTTTCATTGAAATCAGGTCACATTTTGTTATGCTTAAAATATTGACAACCACTAGCTATAGTTTTCTCTAGACCAATTGCGACGTGAGAGTCTTATCGATCATTCTAGAACCCACTAGTATATAAATGGTTAACAGGCCGCATGACATGTATTTTCTGAATTGGTGAGAGATTGGGGCATTCCAAAGGATTCTTCAGAGATTTTGTGGTCCAAATTTCAAGCTAAGAACTTACTTTCTCCAATGACATCATTTTACTGGTACAGAAATCGTGAGAAAAAGTTTATACCATACTTTTGCAAGAAGGTTCACTGGTTTATTGCAACAATATTGCTCAATCAATACT